TTACTTAGTGTCTGAATAAAATGTATTCAATAGTGACCATTCAAGTACTTAAAGTTCAAAAGATATTATAATGTTTAGATTTTTAAACTGGAATTTCAAGCCAGTTGCAAATAAGGATGTCTATACAGTTTTTTAATTTCTCCAGATTTGAACATGTTAAGCTTTCTCATTACACTGCCAAATACTTATGATTCATTTCAGCAGAAGTAGCTAGGGATGAGGAGGGAGTGGGAGTGTGTGTGTCTGTATAACAATTCTGTATGACGCAGGAGAGATGAAATAGAGGAGAAGATATTTTTAGATTCCTTTTTTGAAACAAAATAAGCTTAAATCAGGTGGTTTATGTTTTATGTTTTTTTGCTTTTAAAATAGGAAAAAATGACCAAAGTCTGATCTGAATTTTCCAAATGACACACAATTCTATTTCAGGAGATTAATTGTCATAATTGCAGGTTACTTTCTTAAAATACTTGAAAAGATTCCTTTAAAAAATTGTAACTCCACAAGGATAGAAAAATGTATTTATATCACAGTTCCTGTACATCAAAGGAATATGTTACTTCCATCTAACCTACACAGTAGCATTTAAAGGACTGACTAGTAACCTTACTGTCTAAATTAGAAATAAGGAAGGGGAAAGGAACTGGCATGTAATTTGCTTTCACCAGGTGTAAAGTTCTTTAATTTTCATTCATTCATTCATCCATTCACTCATTTATCCATTCAATAAAAACTTATGGAATAGCAAGACATTAGATATAAGGATGAGCAAGACACAGTCCCTGTCCTCAAAGTACTCTTAGTCTAGAGGGAGAAACACATACCTGCAAACACATACACATACATACACATGCTCACACATAAACACATCGACACATACCCATACGCACATTTTCTCACACACACACACAGAATACATAATATACATGCTCACACACACACATTTCCACTCACATAAATACACTCACACACAATCACACACACTCATTCATATATACATACTCACATACATATTCACATACAAATACACATACATATACATATTCAAATATACACATACACACTTGGGAGCTAACAAAGTAGAGTACATTTTCAAGTTGAGAAGGGAAGGAGAAAGACACAGCAGTGACAACAATCCAGTGAGACAACTATTACAGAAGCTCAGTGAGGTTAAAGAAGCAGTATGAGTAGAGTTTTTAAATGCTAGGGAGTTAAGCCTGGATAAGCACTTCATACATACTAAAAGTTTAATTTTTAATGATATCCTTATTATTATCAGTGAAGGTTACATACCAGGTAAATTGTGAAGACGGTACTCCCCTTACCAAGATGTTTAGTGAGAATGTCTTAAACTATTTTTAAGGTAAGTAGGGTCAAAAAATTGTGTATTAAATAAATACTTTACATGGTCACAGGTTAAACTTTTAAAAGCCTAAACATTCAAGGAAGCCAAACTATGATGTACAAATAACATGAAAATCCAGATATCATGGTCATTGCCGGGAAAATCTGAATCTGTCTAAATGGCATCTCACCCAGCGTTGTGAAATACTTCGTAGCTATAATTTCATAGTAAAAATATATAAGCTATTATCAACTACATAATCATTTTATCAAAGTATTTTAGACTTGATTATCTCATGTATAGAACATTAACAACATCAGTTGATATTATTCATTGATATGATGAGGAAATTCATAAAATGAGAAATAGAAGCAGCTAATATACATATGAAAAGGTGTTACCTCACTAACAGAGAATTGTAAATTAAAATGAGAGGTTACTTTGGGCTATCATCTCGGCAAAGATTAAAAAGATGGCTAATACCCCGGTGTTATTGAGGGTATAGCGAAACTTGCACTCTCATACTTTGTTGGTAGGAGTATAAATGGTTCAACCTTTCCAGAGGCCAATTTGGCAATACAGGTAAAAAAAAAATTTACATACTCTTTGACTCAGCAGTTTCACTTCTTGAAATTTATCTTAAGGAAATGTAATCAGACAACTACACAAAGATGCTTGCATATGCATGCTCACTGTAGCGTTGTTTATGATGCCAAAAAATTGGAAACAACTTAAATGCCTACCAATAGAGAAATGCTTAAATAAATTACGGTACACTATACAGTGGGACTCCATGCAGCAATTAAAAAAAGATTAGGTAGGCATATCTGTACTGGCATGGAAAGATATCCACGATTCACTGAAAGTGGAAAAATAAGCAGTTTACATAAAAGTAGATGTCAGGTGATATTATTTGAATATTTAAAAAAATTAGAGGTATAGAAACAATCTAATAAGGTATATAAGTAGATCTGTCTGTTTTAAAAAGGTTTATTGAGGTATAATTTACATACCATAAAATTCACCTACTGTAAATGTACAACTAATGATTTTTAGTAAATTCATACAGTTACGCAACCATCACCACAATCTAGTCTTAGAGCTTTTTTTATCACCCCCAAAATTTCCCTCATGCTCATAGGCTTAAAACAGTGGCTAGCTTAGGGGTGGAATTGGGTAGAGGGGTGGAAGGAAAAGAGAATTATAGACAGCTTTCTAGTTTACTACTTCTGTAATTGCTTGAATTCTTTACAAGTGTATAAAACCCTCCCCCCCACAAAAAAAAAACATCGCCATCGAGTCGGTTCTGACTCATGGTGACCCTCCAGGGCAGAGTAGAACTGCCCCATGGGGTTCCCAAAGAGTGTCTGGTGGATTCAAACTGCCAACCTTTTGGTTAGCAGCCTAATGCTTAACCACTGTGCAACCAGGGCTCAGCAACAACAGCAAGTGCGTACTATCTTTTAATTTGAGAAAACAGTAAAGAGTTTTCTATTTTGAAAAGAACAAAAAAAAGGGAAACCCAAATCTACTTCTGGTACTTATTCTAAGGAAATTATCAAGTATGTGGAAAACGATTTGTATACAAATAAATGTCGAAGATATTTATCAAAGTATTACTTAAAGAAAAACTGTAAGTAATCTACCTCATGATGGGATAGAAGAATTATTAATCATACTGGAACGTAACAAGTTCTGGATAAAAACTTTTATATGCAGTATAAACTCATCATGTAAAAAAAGATTAATGCATCCCCCCGCCCCTCAAAAAAAAAATTGTTTGGAAATATAATGAAATCTTGCCAATGGTTGTCTTCGGAAGGTAGAATTACAATATCTTTTCACATTTCTGCATTTTCCACAATAAGCATGTATTATCTTTATATTTAGTCTCACTCCCATAAATGTTATTGATTAAAAATAGATTAATTTTGGTATTGTTTTCACAGGTGTATAAATTTGTCAACAAAACATATAAAATTGTACACTTTAAATATTTACAGTCTATTATATATTAATTATGGAGCTCTGGTGGCAGTGGTTAAGGGCTCAGCTGCTAAGCAAAAAGTCAGCCCTTCGAATCCACCAGCCACTCCTTCGAAACCCCGTGGGGCAGTTCTACTCTGTCCTATAGTGTCGACACGAGTGGGAATCCACTTGATGGTAACTGGTATTACGTATTAATTATACCTGAATAAAGCTGTTAAAAAATTAGAGATTGCTTAATCATCGTAACTCTTACTGGAAGAGGGATTTTATTATTACACCATTTTGGGACTGGAATAGGGCATAAAGGTTGGGGAGGAGTGAACGGGCATCTTCTAAATAGCAGTGTTACCTCTGCCCCAGATATCTTCATTGATTGATCGGTTGATTGATTCAAAGGACCTGCCAGAAATGTTATCAGGTATTTGGATACCATGATGAACAAGCCACTGCCCTCAGAAGAGTTCCAATCTGGTGGAGGAGGGGGAAGGTAGGTCATCATCTGACAGATTCCAGACAACGCTCACATCACCACCAAGCAGTCCTTAACCACTGTGCTGCCGTAGGGGACCAGAGGTAGGTCAGGAAGCGAGGGCCTTAGTAAATAGTTCGGGTGGTCAAGAATAGTGACACCATGATTATGGCTGAGAAAGTGGCCAGAAGATAGGTTACCCTGAAGGGAGTATCAGGGTTATCACTTGAGAAATGGGCTTAAATAATTTTTATGTATCTAAATCTGTCTATCTGACTCACACATTTATAACATTAAGAACTAAGGTTGATCGTTTCCGGTTCAGACACCCTGCAAAGGACAACATCCATTGCCTCGTCTACTCCTCGCCACAACCCCTCAGGCACGGACTCTACTACTTTTTTTCACAAATGAGGACACTGAGACTCTGACAGGTTACCTGCCCAAGGTCACAAAGCTGAAAAGCTTTGGCTCCAGAGCCGAAGCTCCAGCCACCACATATACTCCCCCTCACTGTACTCTGGGGCCCTTTGAAAGCGGAAAAAGTCCACTTCCGGACCCCAACCAGGACTGCTCAGTTTTCACTCTTTAATCTAAAAATTTTCCAGATGCAGACTTGAGTTAACAAATGCTGGCACAACCAACAGGGTCGTGCCCACTGGACTTTGGTTTTGGACGCAAACGCACAGCAACCGCTCACTAGAAACCAATCTGCTCAACGCGTCCGCTGTGCGGAGCCAAACGCGCGTGCGCGGGGCCAGAGGGGCCGCCC